ATACTTTTGCTGAGCTGCAGCAAAAAGATTTGTCTCTACTGTTAAATGTTTTGGTGATACATGGACTACATTTTAAATTAAGAGTGGTTAAAGTACAGTTTTCAGATTAAAATAAAAACTAGGCAAAGCTTTGTGATTCAAGACACAGGCAAATTGGCATCTTCAGGCAGGTCTAATAGTTTTCAGAGACAAACCTTGAGCAGGATCTCACTAGAGTCATAACATACTTTTCTGTAAGCCCCACAGCACTAATAGTGCCATCATTTCTCGTTTGGAGGCAAAGATGTATGGTGAGAGCGTTCTTATCTCCCACTTCAAGCCCTGGGTTCACCTATGAGAGAAGCCGCAAATCCCATGCTGCTCAGAGGCCCTGCTCAAAGATGACAACTGCTTAGCTCCTGTGCTTTGTTAGTTCAACAGGACCAGGAAGCCTATGATGTAGTGATTTAAATGTTTTTGTCATTAAAACCAAAACTCACCAGAATAGATCAAGAGAGGGTGCCACTTCTATAGAAAATTTCCTGATGCTTCAACAGATGTATTTCAAACAAAACTCATTCTTCTGCCTTTGATCCAGAGGTTCAGGGAAGGGTAGAATTTCCTGAATTTCCCTGCAAAAGTATATGGATTAAGAATCACCTTTTAAATACTTCTGTTAGCAGTTGCAAAGGAGAGGCTGACAGATCTCTGAGTGTGACCTGTTTCTTTTCTCCCCTCTAGCTTGAGTCAGGATTGTTGTTTGATTCTGAGCAGTATCAAAGGAGAAGAGCACCCATCTGCGGCACGCAGCTTCTGCTCACTCTGAATGTGTGATCTGGAATGAAATATGAATGGTGTGTTGTGTAGACCGCTATTTCCTAGAAAACAAACTTTGAAGTTACTGAAACTTGACTTGCAAAAGCCGCTTCCACTGCCACCACCCACTTCTCTTCTTGTCTGTGATACAAGAGTGGTGTCTCTCTTATCAAAGACTCAGCCCAGGTCTCCCTTCCCAGGTCCCCACTCCAGACATACATTGGGCTGGACACTGGGCAGACTTAAACTGGCAGATAGGTCCAAGCTCCAAAGAGTTTACTATCTCAATTCCAAAAAAAAGTAGACAAAGGATGGGAAAAAGATGCCTATCACATGCTTGAAGACTAAGAATGTGACAGTGATGGAGGTTGGAAAAGAGCCTCAGTCATCTGATTTCTGTCCCGGTGCTTTCATCACCAGCCTTCACTGCCCATCCACGTCGAAGCCTGGCAATTCCAGGCACTGTATCAATGTGTTCTAGTGGGTTACTGGGCTTATTTGTTTAAAACAAAGCATTAAAAAGGTTTCTTATCTCCAAGACCAGAACTATCTCAGCAATGCAAGGTAATGTGCTGTTTTAAAAACTGTTTCCCAGAAGTCAACAGCCATACCTATGTATTTAATACTGTCTGGCCTAATCCTCAGACCTTATATCTGAACAAACCTGGCCTACTAATCCTGACATATTAGAAGGTTTGTGTTTTTAAGGCTGTTAGCCTTTTGTTTTCTTTCCATGATGAGTGGAAAGATACTGGCTCATTATTCATGAGAGGCCAGGTCTGGTTCTCTTACCTTGCTCCTTGTATGGCTATGGAAAGCTGATGTGAACCACTACTATTCTAAATTAATTGTTACACTGCCCTGGCAAAAACGGCTAGGTTAGACACAGGGCAGTGGAGAAGTAGGGAGAAGCAGGTCTTTGAGATAGATACACAGACAGACAGATAGATAGATAGATTTAATTGGAGGCAATATAAATTAGATTATAAAATTCTCCACTTATGGGCATGACGTCTTTTAGACTCTCTCAAGTTAATCTTATTAAAATATATCCGCTATTAACAGAAATTATGCAGGTGTGTAATTTCTGCTCTCTCCAGAATGAAGACATTTTAATGTAACTTACATTTTAATCAAAATATCCCCTTTCAAATATCTCGTCTCTGCCTTCTCTTATGTCTTCTGTAGTTTTGGACAATCTGAGATTGTTCTTTGTTGGTATTAGAGGCAGAAAAAGCAATGGTAGCAGCATCTCTAGTGAAATAGGAATCATTCACACGTGTCAAAGCAGATGAAGGAGTTTTGATCCTTCAATACCATTGCTCAGACATGGTTTTATGAAATCTGGAAAGCAGACCCACATTTCCAAAGCTGCAAAGCATTCAAGAACATGCCCACCCCAGGAGAGGGCTCTGGATGTTGTTAAATACAGATAGAAGGAAGCAAACGCTTCACGTTCATTTAGCAGGTGCTTCCTGCTCTGCTGAACTAGGGACTAAGCGTTCTGAATTGCCCTCTGAAGCCAAGGTGTGCACGCACAAGGGCTAACAGCAGGAGAGATCCTGGGTGTGATGCTCTCTATGGAAAACACTGTTAGCATGTACCACTTCAGAGAACTTACATGTCCTGTCAGAACTAGTTATTTCTTTCATTTAATACAGCAAAACATCACTTTTCAAGATACTTCCTGTGCAAGGTCAGTCTGAAGGTTGTCTTAAGCAGGAAAAACTCACTCAGGAGAGATATTCACATACACCAAGGGGAGAATTGCACTTTGAGTCAGCATAAAGAAAGGGGCCTTCTTCACAGACCCCTTAAAACATAAAAGGGCTTTAGACCCCACTCTGCTTCTTGTCTGTGAGCTCTACCTGACTCAAAGTGTCAGCATTTCCTTCTGCAGCTTGAATTCTCCGGGCTATGACACTACAGTAAAAATCTGTTCCGAGCTGAAACAGAGCAGACACGCTGAGGCTGCTAGGAACATTTTCCTCAGTTCTTGGTGCAAGATGCTTTTTGTGTCCTGTTTTACTCATACTCAGACAATTGGGGTATTAACCTCTACTTAATCAAGCTCTGAGTGGTAACAATGTCATACACAAACTGACTTTGACCACTCAAAAGAATCTTCAACTTATTTTTTTCAGGGAGACTATTGATACATTAAGTTAGTAACATTAAAATTAAAGTAAACATTAGTAACATTAAAATGAAAGCATATAGGACCTGTACACATTTATCTAGGATCACAAAGCACAGGACAAACACCAGCTAGTATTTTTTAACTTATTTTACAGATGAAGAAACTGCACATGAAGAAATTTTCCTGCTTAACAGGAGAATCTGATAAAAAGATACCCACAGACCTGCTTCTCAATTTCGCTAACGTCCAGATTGTTTCTCTTCCAGACAACTATTTACATTAGACATTGGTTTTAGGTCATATCAGCATGTATACTGGATCATCACGTAACAATGCTATGATAGCCTGAAGCATTTAGAGAAAGGTACTGGTTTTTTTTTCTAATCTGTGGCAATGGCTAGGTTCTGATCCCTTTGTCAACAAAGTTGGATTTTAAAAGCAGAAGAGCCTGTTTGCTTCTGAATGCTTCCAAGCTTATTTGTTCTTACTGGCCAAACACTGGCACAGGCTGCCCCAAGAGGCTGTGGGATCTCCAGCCTTGGAGATATTCAGACCTGGACCAGACAAGATCCTAAGCAACCCCTATTTTGGCTACACTGCTGAAAAAGGGGCATTACAAATAACAGGACACTATAAGAATATTTGAATTTTAAATGCCACAGTTGGTCATGCTCATGAAGACAGTGAAGTAATATCTTATGTGACATCTCTTGTCAAGGTGCCACACAAGACAAATAGGAAGATAATGGATGCAGGGAGTGAAACTGAAAGAGGTATTACCATTACTGCACCACTCCAAATACACAGACACTTCTTAGTTACATGCAAACTACTTAATTGACTGAAGGAAGATTGAGCACAGGGACTGTGGTTACAGGAGTTGTGAATTTTGTCCAGAGTCAGGTACCTCTCAGTTATCCTGGAATACAACCAAGAGATCTCCTTTAGGCTGAAGAAAGCCTGAGAAAAGCTGAGAGAGTTGTTCAGCCTGGAGAAGAGAAGTCTCTGAGTGACCTTATTGTGGCCTTTCATTACTTAAAGGAGGCTTGTAAGAAAGATGGGGACAGACTTTTTAGTAGGGCCTGTTGAGATAGGATAGGGGTAACAGTTTCAAACTGAAAGAGGGCAGATTCAGGCTAGATATAAGGAAGAAATGTTTTATGATGAGGCTGGTGAAACACTGGAACAGGTTGCGCACAGGGGTTGTAGATCCCCCACCCTTGAAAACATTCAAGGTCAGGTTGGACGGGGCTCTGAGCAACCTTCCAACTCAAACCATTCTGTGATTCTATGAAAAGCAGGAACTGAAGCAGAAGGGGCAAATACTCCTAAGATAAACACTCATTGACTTTGGGGACTGCTACCACCTTCACTGTAATGTGATGAACCAAAATGTGATCCAACAGCCTTAAAAAAGATTGATCTAGTTCTGGTACATGTCTTAAATTGTAATGACAATCTCTTCAAGAAAACGTTGTCTGGTAAAATCAATAGATCTGTCTCCTTCTGGCTTACCTGAAACCTCTTTCTTCCACTCCCTGTCCCCACCCCCAAAAGATCTGGAGAAGGGAACTGAGAACAGAGAAGATGTTTACTCTAGGGAGACCTTGTTTTGATACATGACTGTTCCTGGGATTTGGCAAGAATGTCTGATGATGCCAAGCAGCACTCTGCTTCTTGCTCTAGAGCCCCCCTGAGACTGCCACCAGTATTTACTAGGACTTTACTGAGATCTGCAGTACCACAACTGTCCCTAAGCTGGGAGCAGGAGACAGCAGCCATACCGCTGCCACAATGCCGCAAAAAGACTCTTACATGACAATTGTCCTAGAAGGTGTTGCTCTATCTTTAAGACCAGGAAGTGACAGAAGACCAAGTTTGGGACAGCATTATAGCACTATCTGTATAGGAATGAGTGTTAGCATGTACTCATATACAGCTCGCTCTCCTGGTCTGAATGTTAGGCTGTCTTTGCAGGTGAGACTTGTCATCTTCAGCCCACAGGAAGAAGGCTTGGCATTATCTCTAGTTTTAATACAGCTCTTGCCTCTCCCTGGTGTTTCAGAATCAAAGCCCCTGTACTTAACCTACTGTTTAACATTTCTCTCATATCTTTCTTTCCACAGTATGTGGCATTTGCCTCCCTCTTCTTCATTCTGGTCTCCATCACCACCTTCTGCCTCGAGACCCACGAGAGATTTAATCCCATTGTGAACAAGACAGAAACTGAATTCATCGGGAATGACACCCAGGTGCGGCACTACAGGGAAGCAGAGACTGAAGCCTTTCTCACCTACATCGAAGGTGTCTGTGTGGTCTGGTTTACATTTGAGTTCTTGATGAGAGTCACTTTCTGCCCAAACAAGGTGGAATTTATCAAAAACTCTTTGAACATCATTGACTTTGTGGCCATACTGCCTTTCTATCTAGAGGTTGGACTCAGTGGCCTGTCTTCCAAAGCTGCTAAGGATGTCCTGGGCTTCCTCCGCGTAGTCCGTTTCGTGCGAATCCTGCGAATTTTCAAGCTGACCCGCCACTTCGTTGGGTTGCGGGTCTTGGGACACACCCTCCGCGCCAGCACAAACGAATTCTTGCTGCTCATCATATTTTTGGCATTAGGCGTCTTAATCTTTGCCACGATGATCTATTATGCCGAGAGAATAGGTGCTAAACCAAATGACCCTAGTGCCAGTAAACACACACACTTTAAAAATATCCCCATCGGCTTTTGGTGGGCTGTTGTCACCATGACGACCCTGGGCTACGGAGACATGTATCCTCAGACTTGGTCAGGCATGCTGGTGGGGGCCCTCTGTGCTCTCGCTGGTGTGCTGACCATTGCCATGCCTGTCCCTGTCATTGTGAACAATTTCGGAATGTATTACTCCTTAGCTATGGCTAAGCAGAAGCTACCAAAGAAAAAAAAGAAGCATATCCCGAGGCCACCCCAGCTGGGATCCCCAAATTATTGTAAATCTGTCGTAAACTCTCCACACCACAGTACTCAGAGCGACACTTGCCCACTGGCCCAAGAAGAAATTTTAGAAATTAACAGAGCAGGTAGGAAACCTCTTAGAGGAATGTCCATCTGACCGTTAACCTCCATCCCGCGTAGTGATTTAAGATTCAGCCAGACTGCTTTCTTAGAGCAATGGGTAGCACATTTATCCATTCTAGTCCCACCATCACACACTGAATAACATGTGTGAAGTCTAGGTTGCAGGGACAAATGGTACAGTGGAGGCTGACCAGCAAAACTAAGGATGAGAGCATGCTCTAGGAGCCCAAACTTTGGTCCTGGTTATGGGCATACAAGTCTCAAGATATTTTGAAGAGCTGTTACACCTAGTGGAAGAATTTTGAAAGTTCTACAGCTATGTTGCTGGACTGTGTAATGCATCTCTGAGGCTCCTGAGAGCTGAATGTTTCATAGAGCAGGGTAGGAGTCAAGCACTCAGCAATTACAGAATTTTCTGACAAAACAGGGCTGGAATTTGAAACAGCCAGATGCTTTCTCATTTGTTCCCATTTGGGACCTTTCAGCTGTTTTAAATGGCAGATATTGTACATCTCATTACAGAAACTAGGTGCCTAGTAAGTTGAAGGGACAACTATACCATCATGCATATTCATGAGACAATCCCGTCTCTTTCTGATGATTAACTGCAAATTAGAACAACAGCTCAAATTCTTGACATTAATGCAAAATGACTCATTCTGAGACAAAACTAGACATAAGGATGTTTATTCCATGGCATGCAAAACAATCTATTCTATAATATTCCACTAGAATTTAGCATTTAGAAGTATGACGAGTTTTGAACCACATTTTCTAAAACATGCTCCTTTTGCAAGTATGGGTTGGTGAGTTACAGCTCTTTCAACCTTCTAGCAGCAAAGGCCAACTGGAAAAGGTCTGACTGGTCATTACTGGCCAGTTTGGCCTAAACAGTGATCGCCTCATAATATGGTATTCTGATTTTTAATTACACTGATTCATTTGAGCAATAGGTGAAACCAGAGCAAAATTAATCATACTAATTATACTGGGAGGGGGGAGGGAAATGGAAAAAAATACTAGTTACCATGGAATATATTATAATATCCCATGGCTAGTGGTTAATTATGGGAATATCTCAGTTTTATGAGACTACTCCTATAGCACATAAAGTTACGGGGCTCCAATTTGATTATTTAAACCCCATAATCTACCTCTACCCATGGAATATCACTATTTATTCTATGGAGTAATTTCAAAGTAGATAACCACGTTGAAAACAAAGACAACTTCATTTTTGGCAGATGTTCCAGCCAAGGTGCATAGTAGACATTCTTCAGCCTGTTCAGAATATCCCCCTGTGTTGTATTAGATAGAACAGATTGCCAGTCAAGTGATTTTAACTGACATCTGGTCAAAAAGAGATGTTTTGAAAGAGCTAGCATATACCTATGATGGTCTTGTGTTATCATTTTTTACTTTGAAGAAAATCCTAATTTGTTACTCATTGTGAGTGAGGTATTCTCTCATCATCTCATAGCCATGCATATTGATGTCATTGTGAGAGGCACAAAGAAAGTGAGACTTTCCTTTGTGTGTGACTTCACCAATGCCAATGCTAATTTTGGATGGGAAGAGCTGGTGGGAACCTTTCTGTTCTTTCCTATTCTCTTCTCTCTTTTCTTGTTTCTTTTCTCTTTTGTGCAACTATGTAAAATCCATTCAGAAGGTAAATAGTTTTCATTTTTTTTGTTAAAGACTATTCCATTGCAACAGGCCAATCACAATTCACGTGACTGATAGACTGTCTCTTTCCTATTGTATCTTTGGCGCATAAGCGTATGGTTTTATCATCCATTCCCCTCAGGTTGCAAATGCTTATCACAACTCATGTCCAAGCAGCATAAGTAGATGTCTTTGTGGCATCACGTAACAAGAGGGA